AAAAAAAAACAGAGAAAATGTTTCCTAGTTGACTGAGAATTGCAAATTTTCTAAATTAAACGATAAGAATCAGTAATTTCTTAGTGCTTCACAAGTTTGTAGTCAGTACCAAAATGCAGATAATATGCATTATAGTATCCTTGCATAAAAGTTTTTATCTCTAGACGACTTTCCTGGATGATTAGTTCACTCCTTCCACAAAAACCTCTAATTATGCCCAAACATTGAATTCAGATTCCATTGAGAAAACTACAAATTCAAATTGATTTTTAGAAAATAGGACCTCCTGCTATGATACGATTCGTAAATAACATCGTTAAACAAGTTACGCTTACCATGTGACCATATCGAACTAATGATATGAACAGTATCATAAGATGAATGCCAGTAATGTCAAATTGCATTCCAAATACAGAAATTGAAATTTTTTAAACTTGGCTTTGAAACCGAGATAAATCATATAATATGATATAAGCAATTGTTTATCGAGAGTGAGCACATTCCACTCAGTATTTTAAACATCAGCTACCAAAAGCTCAAAAATCAAAACAACGGATGTCTCCGAATCCAAACTTTTCTAAGGACCAGCTCAAACTCTAAAACAACTGGTTTTTCAAATGAAATTAATTTTGGAGAATCTTTTCACCTCAAAGCAGCTGTCAATCATCCATTTACGCTCAAAAAATCGACAGAACAACCTCACATCGCACATATGATAACCGATTTTTGCAAGTTGCATACCCATATAAATTTCTATGCCAGCTCTATAAAAACCTTGAAGTATGATGTTAGATTGTCGAGAACAACAAAAAAAATTACGAATCTTGTGATGTTTTTCGAATGATAACGAACAACTTTCACAATTCCAAACAGTCAAATTAATTAACTAACAATGTAGGAATATCCCGACCATGCCAATGTCGGTCAGATTATTGCAGAAGTGATCAATGGAAGATCATTATATGACAATTAAAGATAGACTCAGATTCATTCGCTCTCCAAATCTGCAAACGAATTTTGCACAAGTGACTCCAATTTGAAATGTTATCATCCTTTAAGAGTAAGGAAAAGCAACTGCTGCATAAATTCTTGGCGAAGTATCTCGTGAATAAACATCGAGCGAACTATTCTATTGCTCTGAAAATGTTACTATTTAACAATTCGTATTCCTGCTATCTTTTGTAGGTATACTTTTTACTGTAACGAATGTGAAAGGTCACCCATTGGTGCTTAAACATAAGAAATTGCTATTATCTTAGATCAAAGATACTTCAAACACTGAATTTTCTTGATGTTAACTAATCGCACCTGATGTTCCTAGTTTATTTAGTTTGATCTTATTCCATCACTCTACCTTCAAAATCTAGAGCTTTAATACTCATGCAAATTTTCACATGTTCAACTCAGAAACTTTCACGTTTCTTTTCTTCATTTTTGTTCTCCATTAGTGGTATTTGATAAAAAGACCTACCTCAATTTATCCATCTGCAAAACTTACTGTATTTTTTGACAAATATATAACACAACACGTTTATTGTTCACTTAATGAGTTTAAGAACAAACTGCATTTCAATTAATTCGACCAAGAGATCCGATTACAACAGGAAATTAGCCAAATACATTAAATTATGATAACAGACGATTTAACATGTTTTTTTAATGAGTTTGAGATTAATGAAAATAATTTAAGTGCTCGTCCGCTCGATGTAGTCGCCCGCAGCTTACTTAGCTCTTTATTTTTGAATTTTTATTTCGTTATTTTAACTTGGACTTCACGGATCCTAAACAGGGAGCAGTTTTATGAATGGTTGGATCAATCAATTTTATATGAGTGCTGCAGAAAAAAAACGCGAAAACCGCGCCGAAAAGCAATTCTGATCCTTTGTTTGATTTCTACAAGAACTCAAGTTTCTGACGCTAAATCCATGGATCAGAAAGCTTTAAAGCACGATTCCAGTTTACTCCTCTGCATATGGATGTTATGGCTAGCATAGCATAAAATAACCCGTTTGAAGTTAGCGTTGTTTACCCCATTATTTAAATTTTGGCTGATAATTTTATGATTTTTTCTTTGAAATTTTTTAAGTGAAACTTTTGTATCTATAAAACCGCTGCTCATGCCTATATTACCTTTTTTAATAATAATAATAACTTTAATAAATCAATATCATTTTGAGCCATATGCAAAGGATTAAACGCGTTTAATTTGAATGCTCAAAGTGGAGATTATTGCCAAAATTGATATTAGGCTTGCTCCACCTCAAACATACTCAAGAAAGTTTTAAGGGACACACCTGTAGAGCGGCGAGCACCAAGACGACACAGTATAATGATGATGAAGATGCAAACCGAACCGAACCAAGCAAAGGTATTTTTACACCTTTACTTCTTCAATCAATATGGGCGGAATCTGCAAAAAACAGCTTTATGCAATGCAATGCACATTTCTTTGTCATAGCATAACGTCATAACGTACCCTCGCGGTCTTCCACCTCCGGGTCCTCCACGTCCACGGAATCCTCCGCGCATTCCACCTCCTCCTCGACCGCCTCGTCCGCGGTCACCAAATCCTCCGCGGCCGCCACCAAACGAGTTTTGTTGCTTATCGCTGTCTGAAGAAAAACATGGCAAATAAGAGTGCGACCTATATGCAGACACGTTTAACTGAGGTCAACTTGAATCTAGAAACGTGAAACTTAGCTTATAAAGGATTAAGTACTAAATTCTTCAAAATCTAAAACACAACAATATAGCTTACAGATGACCTATTCAACAAAAAAGTTCTATCTTCAAATAGTTTGAAGGAACATCGCCATATGATTCAATATCCCTTCTATCGAACCGTTAAGTTTTATTATTCTTCCTCAGAAAAACCGCATGCATTCCTTAAAAATGTTCACGAACCACCATCATTTCCACCATCTTTAGAGCCATCTCCACCATCAGCGGCGTCACCATTTCCATTTTCACCTTCTTTGAGATGTCCTGGAGTGGTGTCCTCACGCACCTGAAGAAATTATACTTGGAGATAATGTCATTCAACACAATTTCATTCCACAGATACTTACAGGCTGCAAAATACGATTCAATTCTTCTAAAACACCAGCAACCCTCTTGTAGGCGATATGCGCTGGAGCAATGGTTTCTACTTTGACGTGAAGGGGACCGCCGTAGTGAGCATACTGTGGATCACCCGAGCTAAGTAATTCTTGTTCCTTATTTCTGTCCTTTGTGGACCCACGTCCCAAGACGTAAATATGACACTTGTAGGTTTTAGCCATAGCCTGGAGCGAAGCTCCTTTGGGTCCGAGGATTTTTCCAACAAAGTTGAACTGGAAAAGAATATTTACGCTTCGTCCTAATACTCAACGGATTCACCATGGATGAGGAGTAAGAACTTACCCTGGGATGACGGAAGTTTGGGATGAGCACCTTCTTTGTGACCTTTATTGGCTTCGGTATATCAACCTCAAGCCATTCGGGATCAATGTTGTTCTCCAGTTTGTCAGATTCTAAAGCAACACTTAAGGCGAAATAAATGTTCTTTTTTTTTGTGGGAAGACGTACCAGCAGCTAAGAGACGACGAGCGTTTTTGAACTGCTCCCCATACTCCCCAGAAGCGTCGAACATTCCTAACTCGTTGTGAATTTCTCGGATAACAACCTGAAATGGGACAAATCAAACTAGTACGACAGAAAGTGGTAATCTACCATACCTGAATTTCCGCATCGAGCGGGCTCTGCGCAGCATCAAAGCCACCTGGACCTCCAAAGCCCCCTCCGGGTCCACCAAATCCACCGCCAAAGCCGCCACCGGGTGGCCCGCCACCAAATCCTCCCTGACGCCCTGGGCCTAAAAAGTTAGATAAAAGCTTATACATGCGAAGAAAAAATGAAAACCAACCTCCAAAACCACCGCCACCTCCGCCATAGCCATCGTATGAATCATACTAAAAAAGCAGGGATTTAGTAAAGGCATGCGCTTATGATTTGCAAACAATCAAATACGCGCCGTGAGGAGGCTTGGACATTGTTCTGTTGACATACATATATTTAAAAGAAAAAAGTTTCGAAATGCGCTAAAAAAAATATTAACATGGCAGTCGCATGTGGTCTCCACCTCATTATTCGCCCATATAGAACAGTGGTTCAGCCAAAAAATGTCATTGCAAGCGCTCAACAGGATTTCTTCACATACGCTTACATAACTTTACAAAAGCAAAAACACGCTACCATTGGGGATATTTGAGAACAAAACGCATCATTACCCCATCTCTTGCGTCGGATATCCGATGGTTTGGTTCGGAAATCCGATGGGACATGGCATTGCCCATGGAGGGTGTATTTCGCATCATAGGTAATCTAGCCTGAAGCAATGTAGAATGTATAACTTTTCATTCGCATCCCTATACCTCTCCCTCTTTAAAAAGTCACAGCCGTTAGAACTTTTCATGAAGAGATAACTTATTTTCCTTACTGCCTTCCTACTTTTCCAGTTATTGCGAAGCCATTGTAACTGTTAATAGCTGAGCTTCACCTATTGGTATGAGCAACAAACTTTGTTCCAACGACTGCGGAAGAGTAGATAAGCTGCCAATTTTTACTATGATATCCACTAAAAAGACCCTCTTTCTAATCCTCAAAAGGTTCACTCTTTCTCAGCTCGTTGGTCAGCTAACTAGACTTAGTTCTATTGCAGTATCAGGTCATCTGTCTCTATTAGTTTGGTGTTAGCGTCCTTCCACGTGTTAGAAAAAACGCAGCACCAGTCTTTGCTCAACATCTTTCATCAAGCCACCCGGTCAAGTAGTTATTGTGTGACTATCCCATTTAATTCATTAATTCTCTATTTAGAGTCTGACTGACTTGAAACTGAGAGATGCCGTGGGCAGTGTGGTAAGTATCGCAATTGCATTTGTACAAAGGATGGGGTGTCCAACAATTTTAGTTCAAAAAGTGAGTCTAAATAGCGATAGCGGAAAAGTTCCAAAAACTAGGCATATCAGCTTTGCCTTTGTCTCTCACTTCTACAAATATATGAACTATTGTTGGGACCGAATTTTCGAGTTCGAATAAAATATTTAAACACTTCAAATAATTCGAATATTCGGTACTCGAGTATGCGAAGGAACGCATTTATTCGATTACTCGAATATTTTGTAACATCGTCATTCGAGTATTCGTGTTCAATGGAACTGCGATTCGAATAATTTTCGATCGTTCGAACGTCTGCGAAATCATCGAATATCTGTTTCATATATCTGCAAAATCATCGAATATGATTGAGATTGCGTAATTATGTTTGGCTGAAATATTCGAATAATTCGATTTTTGCCATTCGAGTTGTCAAATATTCGAAAAAAACGCACTAATTTTGTTATTCGAGTGTTCGATATTCGGTCATGCCCAAATATTCGATAATTCGAATAGTCGAATAAGACCCTCACCATTATATTATATAAATATATATAT